CTATTTTACACGAGTGTAAAAAAAAAGAAGACTTTTTCTCGGGTTTATATCCAAGTCTGCAAATATCTGTGTAAATAGACTTCTACATATTGTCCAGAAAAATTAATAAACCACATCAAAGACGAATGGATCGCCATCAGATGAAGCGGAACGATCAGTAAGTGAAGCCGAAGAGTAACCATTTCTATCAGGGCCACGTTTCGGCAGATCATTCATTAGAACGCTTCATGATTTTTTCTTATAGTCCGATGCACAATTTCGTGTCTACTCTGAGTCCGGGAAGTGGCAATGTCCGTTGAACAACAGACTACGTGGCCGTATTACGAACTTACCGGCCATTAGCGGACTTGTTGACCATAACGCTGTTCATAGGGAGAAAATGCCAATGAAGATTTTAATGACAAATGCTACTGGACATTTTGATAACACAAATTATTGTTGGGAAGATAGGCAACAGTCTATCAATCTCTTTATATATCTATACCTTTCTTTTTTTCTCGCCCTCCCAGTTTATGTCTATTTCTCTCTCTCTCTCTCTTTATATATATATATATATATATATATATATATATATATATATATATATATATATAGGTCTGTGTGTGTGTGTATTGATGTAATAGGAGAAAACAGTTAGATTAATAATCCAAAATGTAATAGTATTTATGGGTTTTTTTAAACAGTGCTCGATACAGAAGTAGAGCTTAATTTATAATTATTTCTTTTTAAAAATATGATTCCATCGCGACAGTAAGTTTCATTCTCAAGCGATGTTTAGAATAAAGTTATTCTAAGTTTCGCTTAAGAATGAAACTGTACTCTAAATTTTAATATTGAAGTTCAACTTTAGGACTTGAGTCAAGTTTTGAAACAGTAATTTCTGTGTCCCGATGGAATCATATTTAAAAAAAAAATAATTATATATATATATAAAAATAATGACAAATTGCATTCATAAATTAGATTAAAAGTAAACTAATAAAGATGTTACCGTGACTATTTTTACAATATTAAAAAAGTACGATTGGTCGGGTAAACAAACTATTACAATTTAAAATATTTTTTTTCAATATGTTCTCTATAAATGTGTTAATAAATATAGTATTTAACTTATATTAAATCCTTAAACTATTTGTTTAAAAAATTAAATATTTAAATTGATAGCAAACATTAAATAATTTTTTTAGACATCTACATTTCTATACAGCATTAAAATCTATTCTTTACATAAATTGCTAAAACCCAATTACAGCCTCATTTTCTTTACTTCCCTCTCCCTCGCCCTCTTCTTTCTTTTTCCTCTTTCTTTTTTCTTTTCTCCCTACTCCCCTCCCAATTCAATATATCACTTCCGTTAAGTTAACCGTCTAAATAGGTCAGGGTCTGGTCACTCATCCACCCCCAATACAAAGTATACTTGAGAGAGATATGAAATTAACCCCTCCCTATACTTTACCATGTCGCTTTAACTATTCCTTTTACACTCTCTATTAAATTACAAAAACTTACATTACCCATCAATTTTAATTCCATTTTTCGTTTCATTTCATTTTTGGAAGTGCTATCTGATGATCCGGCGTCATTTAAAAGGGCTCTGGTGAAATAAATTATTATAATGGTACCTTAAAGTGGTCTGTTTTTTCTTTTAAATATTAGCTCTGGATTTACATTGAGCTCTCAGGATTTCATCCTCCTTGGGATTACCCATACGGATTACCAAGTTCTTCATAACTTATTCATATATATATATATAAATATATATATATATATATATATATATATATGTGTGTGTGTGTGTGTGTATTGGTGTAATAGGAAAGAACATTTTGACTAATAATCCAAAGTTCTTTAGTATTTATGTTTTTATTTTTAAAAAACAGTGCTCGTTACTGAAATAGAGCTTAAAATTATAATCGCTTGAGAATGCAACTGCTCTAACATTTTAAGTTTAAGGCCTGAGTTTCAGTTTCAAAAGATAGTAATTTCTGTGTCGCAATGGAATCATATTTGAAAAAAATATTTATAATATATATATATATATATATATATATATATATATATAGTAAGATACTTATATATATATATATATATATATATATATATATATATATATATATATATATAGTAACTATCCAGGTTGTGACAGTCTTGGCCTACGATTCGTGATTACGACATGATCTTCATCAATCTTGTTTCGACTTACGCCGTGTGCCTCTTATGTACGACGCAAACAACGCGAAGAAAGAATACTTTTGTTTTTCTTTCTTCTCCAGATTAACTGCTGCTTCCGGCTACCGCAAGAGAGACAAATTCTTACGCTTCGTCATCTCATCTAACGAGAGACAATGACATCATTGTCAATAAATATACGAGCATCGTAAAACAATTTCATTTCATAATATTATTGTTATTATTGTCATACCATTTCATTATATGTATTTTATTTATATCCTCTATATATTTTTTAGTCCTAATTATGTTAACATATGTCATAGAGTATGTGTTGTTGATTTAGGTTATTTGACTATCACTTAAAACATGAAAATATGTGTAGACATATTTAGTTTCCCAGTAATAAGATATAAGAATATTTTCTTGTTAAACTATAAGATTGTGAATTCCCAATAAAATTACTGAATATTGCAAGCAAGACAAGATCTTCGTCATCTCATCTAATGAGAATCAATGACATCACTGGCAATAAATATACAAGCATCTTAAAACAATTTCATCTCATTATATTATTATTATTTTCATATCATTTTCGAAAATCGCGTTACGGCGCATTGTATGAACGGAACTGTGTCGTAAGCCGAGGACCCCTGTAATTTTCTATATAGCAGTGGACACTGTAGAATCTTTTCATAGACAAAAAAGAGACTTAGGTCGATAGGGATGGTGAATTTCCAATAAAGAATACTGAATACTGCAAGAAAGACAAGATCTTACAATTCGTCATTTCATCTAACGAGTGTCAATGACATTACTGGCAATAAATATGTTGGGGCGCACCCACCTTCTGACTGACAATGGACTTATCCCTCTACGATATGTCAGTGCTAGAGAGAGGTGGATGAAGGATCAGGTTCATCGACAGCAGTCGAGATCAGGTTACCATTACATACCGTTGGACTCTAGACTTTTGCTATTGTTACTTACTAACCGGCGTTCCTTATTACAAATCCCTCTGTTGTTAATTACCTCTTACAAATATACCAGTATTTATCCCTACAACTGTGTTTGTCTTTATTCAAATACACACACGCGGGAACACTCCCAACAACTCAACAAAATATAAAAGCTGTTTAAAACGAATTCATTTTATTATATTATTATTATTATTTTCATATCACTTCGTAATATGTATCATATTTATGTCCTCTATATGTTTTTTTAGTCCTAATTATGTTAACATATGCCATAGAGTATGTGTTGTTATGTTCTAGATTATTACTTTACTATTGCATTAACGTAGGGGAGTGGCGTAAGTGTTTATTCGCGGTACTTACATAGAAAATCGCGGTATGACGCAAAGTAAGAACGGACCTCTGTCGTAAGTCGAGGACCACACCTGTATATAAATCAAACGTTATTTTTTAATAGTCATATTTGAGTAGAAAAGGAATCCGTGGAAATTTTTGGAATATAGGACCCTCGAGACTGGAAATTCCCAGAACAAATCTATTTGCAGAACGGGCAATCAAGTGCCGTCAAGATCTTTATGACATCTGTAAAAAGAAGTAGAAAGATCAGCTTATATTTATTTTGTATAACCAAACACAATAATTATATATTATGCTATAATTATGCTAAATAACACACATTTTCTTTCTTTATATAGCTCTCATGACTTGTAGAGTTAAGTTTCTAATTTTCTAATTTTTGTTTGTTAGTAAATTTGTATGTTATGCTATAGCTATAAACTTTTAAGTACGTTAAAATACATAAGTACTATTCAGTAGCTATTTTTGTTTATTTGTAAGTGTGCACCTTATGCATTCTATAGCAATAACCTTCTAAATGCGTTAAAGATGACACCATTTTTCGTCGATGAATAATGGATTTTTACAAGAATTATTTTCTTTTTTTAAAAGTTTTAATTATAATAATTTATAAAATTATAAATTCTCAATTTGTCCCTGTTATGTCATATTGCTATTAAGTAAAATATATATTTACAAATCATAAATCGAAAAGCTTATTTATATTTTAACGACACGCAATATTTTAAAAAAGAATTATGAGTATTTTGTAAACGTCTCGATTTTTGTAAATACGAGCGTCGATATACGACAATATCAGAAAATAAAAGAGATTATTAAAGTAAATTTTAAGTCAAAGTACCTACCACTCAATAAAATACTGGATTTCGGAGAATATTTTCCTAAATTTTAAATATTATTGAGTAGTTACAAATTATGTAAAAAGGCGCTCACGTTATATTCTTCAAGTAATTTTTACAGATACAACCACCGTAGA